CTCCCCCCCCCCCCACCCAAGAAAACCAGGAAGACGCGGGCGGCGGACCGAGACGCACCGCGGTCCTGCCACCTGGGTCCTCCACAGCTTTGCTCCCAGTCTCCCTGGTCTGCCAGGGAGATGGGGAGCAAAGCCTCTGAGGACGCCAGCAGTGGGACAGCCGCGGGGCGTCTGGGCTGTCCCGCTGCCGGCTTCCCCGAGGCTTTGCAAACCAGGGAGACGCGGAGAAAGCCCCGGAGTACACGGGCGGCAGGACCGCGAGGTCCCGCAGTCCGTGTCCTCCGGGGGAGCCCCGTTCGTAACTGCGGATCCGACATAAGTCGGATCCGCGTAAGTCGGGGACTGCCTGTAAGGCCAAATCATGGCAGGGATTTTTAAATTAGTGATCACCCACTGAAACTGGCCCTGGCCAGCAAATGTAGCTTACTAAGACAATTTTACAAATGGTCTGTAAAACTCTGAAAAGAAATTAAGAATTTCCAACTTCCAGAGCTTATTTGTAATAATGTAACCTGCTATTACAATTATTGAGGGGTCCCTTGAGAAACAGAAGTCAGTTGGTAAAAAATGTAAAAAAAAATGTAATGGAGATTGCCTATCTCCTAGAACTGGAAGGGACCTTGAAAGGTCATCAGTCCACTCCCCTGCCTACACAGCAGGACCAAGTACCATTCCTGACAATTTTTGCCCCAAATCCCTAAATGGCCTCCACAAGGCTTGAACTCACAACCCTGGGTTTAGCAGGCCAATGCTCAAACCACTGAGCTATCCCTCCCCTCACTGATCCATCTCTCACTATCCATATCTATCTCCACTGATCCATAATTCTGCTCTGTCCTTCCGATTATAAATTAAGAAGTCTACTCTTTAGGCTTGCATCTTGTCTGGTCCTGTATAATTAATTATTACCCGTGGGTGGATGGTAAAATTGGAAGTTAACACCCACCAGCTCCTATCTTGCTAGACTGATCAGTACTGCACAGTTCTTGATTCCTCAGATTATTGCCAGTCACTGGAGCAGATCACTTTTTAAAACTACATCTGTTCTTGAAAGATTTCCCACAAAGCACTCTCAATCCCCTGTCACCTCATCCTTTCTGCCAGTCAGATCTGCAGCAGGTATAAATGGAGCTGTGATGACCAATAGATACAGGGTTCAGGTCTGGCCTGTAGTTTACAAGTTTATAAGGAGTTGGTTTTCTTTGCAATAGAAAGGACAGCATTCGCCTAGACCATGTGACGAACAGTTTTGGCTAACAGGCTGTTCTACAAAAAATAAGAGCAAACCTTCTGCTGATCAAGTAAACAGGGACAAGAAAGAAACAGTTTGCTCCACAATAACATGAAACTCCTGCTTCTGTTCAGCTGAACTGCAATCCACAAACAGCAAAGGATACTAAATAATGCGTATGTGCAGCAGCAACTGCCAGGATCAATAAAATACTAGCAGACAGGTGAGCTTGAGCCCTGAAACATCTGTCCTCGTTCTCAGCAATTTAAAGACAGCTTTCTCATTACACTCTGACTTCCCCTATTCTTCAGCATTGCTTTTGCGATTTTCTCAGATCAGTTTCAGCTCTGGGAATGCCTCTCACAGTGACCCAGAGCGCCACAATTTTAATTATTTCTTATTTAAAGTCATGAAAAGTTTTACACGGGGGGAAAAAAACCCCCAAAGCATCCCATAACAACAGACTGTTAACATTTGAGAATAATATACTCACCTGAACCCAAGTGCATGTACACCTCATCAATTTTAATACCTGAACTTCATCTGTAACAGGACAGAAACGGGAATGATCCAAGAGAGAAGACAGACAGCTACCGAACAGTACTGCTAGTACTAATCAGCCTCCTTAAGCTCTTCCCCCTAAAGGAGGCAGATTAGATGGGCAGGACAAGGCAGGAATCCAGCAGGGAACCTTTTGTGTTACTGCCAACGCATGGCTCGGAATGTTTTTGAGCAATACTCATCACGTTCAATTACAAGATAACAGCTGTCCCTCAAGAGAGGAGACTGCTTAAAAGCATTCCAGTTGAGATGCTGAGACGTTTGAGGCTATCTCGCTTATAGCATTGCTCTCCCGAGGGGGGGGGAGATGTCACCGGCATCCCAAGAGAACACCACAGCCCAGAGGAGAGGGTTTTGCAGTATAATCAAGACAGCTTCATGCAGAGTTGTTATAGAGGAATTTTAATGATAAAATTCTTCCCTTGACTCCTCATGTTTTCTTCATTTCTACTTTTCACTTCCCCTCCTCCGTTGACTGATATAGCAATATCTTTGGTATTCACACTTCCTCAACTGCTGTGAGTGAGCCACATCCACACTGACTTAATTGGCCTCATAAACACTAGTTCTACACTTGATAAGTAACTTCCATATATATTACGCACACCTGCTGCTGTAATTTCCACTCCAACTCATCTGATGAAGTGCATTTTTACCCATAAAAGCTTATGCCCTAATAAATCTGTTTAAAGCAATATGTGTAACTGTAAACAACCTAGCAATATTGGAAGGAAGGTTCAACAACATACAAGAACATGTTTTCAGAACTGGCTGCCTTAAAAAAAAACCCCACAAATTTACCCTACAGTGTACATGTCAGGTTACCAGATTTGCCCAGAACCATCCCTTCACTAGGGATGTTAGATAACATGTGACTGAATAGTTGTGTAACCACACCAAATTTTAGTGGTTACACGACTATTTGATAGTAGCGTCAGCAGCCAGTGCCCTCCTAGCCCCACTCCTGGGGAGATTCCTGCTATTCTACACTGCTGCCTCTCTATCAGAAGCAGCACACAGCAGCAGGTCCATGAGGGGAGCCGGCATCCACAGAGCAGCCTCCCTTGCTTCCCCTGCCCCAACAGATGCAGCAGCGCGGGGTTGAGGGAGGCAGATCCAGTGCTCATGCTTAAAAGCCAGCTGCCCCTGAGCACCAACTCCTCACGTGTATTGGCTCCCACCTGCCCCCTGTGCTGCTGCCTCTGTTAAAGAGGCAGCAGCCAGAGGCGTGGGGGAGGAGCAGGCAGCTCCATGGGAGCCAATACATGCAGTCAGCCATCTTAAAAGCTGGCTTCCTGTGTATACCAGCTCCTGCCTGTCCCCCCTCACTCTCCATGCTGCTGCTTCTCAATCAGAGGCAGCAGCGTGGGAATGAGGCAGGGAGCTCCACAGGATCCAATGCTCATGGGAAGCCATCTTAAAAGCCACCTCCCCTCCTCCCTCCTTCCCCCGGATTACGTCTGATACAGAGACAGTGGGAGTAGTGTATGTAGTCAATAGGATTAACCGATAGGTCCAGGCTTATTGGTTAATCGTGTAGTCGTCTATAAGTTGCCATCCCTACCCTTCCCCACGCAGTCTGTTCACAGATATTGTTGGCACCATTGTACGGCTTGAAGGAAGACAAAATGCATGATCTGCATGAGCTCTGTATGACAGACTCACTCTTCTTTAAGAAGTACACTCAGTAACTTCCTCTACCACCCTTTGTTGAAATCTTGCCTGGCTCCTGAGGCTGCAGCCATATATTTTAAGTTTTGTTTAGAGTATGCCATTAGCCATCTTTGGACATGTTTGTGCTCAGACCCAAGCAGGTTCAGCTAACTTGCTAGTTAACATGCCAGCTAAAGTTCTACGATGTGCTACTTAGTTGTAAGTCTTTTTATGTGAGCACCTCTATGTGGGAAGAAAATAGACTAAAATATGGTTCTCTTTCACTTTTTAAAACAACAACAAAATGTTCCCAGATGAACATTATGGACAGATGAAGAATTTCCGTGTTATTAAATATCACAACCACCTTTAAACAATCACTTTTATAATTGACAGTTTAGTCTATGTACGTGTTAGCTATAGTCTGTATAGTTAGTAGAATAATGTTTTGTTTGTAAGTTTTGTATACTTCTGTCCCACACTGCCAGCCACACTTCGTGATTAGCAGGAAGCAATTGTTTGTACCCTTGGTAGACATGCATCCGGAAAGCTGATAAGCACATCCCCAAATGCTGAGGCAAGAAGAGACTGTAATTTCTTAGGGTCATTTCATTTCTTTTATCTTAGGACATGATGTTATTACAATGTTTTTATTACAAATTAAGTTGTGCTTAATTTACAATGCTGACAAGAAATTGTATAAGGTTCTTTTGTGAAGTTTTCAGTAGCCATATAATCCTTCTAAAATCTAATCCAATCAGTAATTCTCTGTAAAATTGTGTGAAGAATATGTGCACACTTAAGAATAAGCATGAAAGACACCACAAAGGTCCAGGCAGTTAAGAAGTGGGAGACAATCAGAAAACAGCCACTATGCCCAATGCTAAATGAGTAAAGCTGGGATGAAGACCTTGAAGCTAAGCACACTGCCCCCAACATGAGATAACAAATCCCACCGAAACCAGCATGGGACAACTCCCAGAGACAGTCATCTGAAATGCTGATGAAGAATCAGGATGGAAACTGATTGCAGTCTGACACAGGGAGATCCACAGATTTGAATTGCACAGAACTAAGATAAAGATGGAGTGTTTTGCCATTAGATTAATCTGCACTACAGAGAAAGGGGGAGGGGTGTGTGTGTGTGTGTGTGGGTGTTTTGCCATTAGATTCATCTGCGCTACAGAGAGAGAGAGGGAGGTGTGTGTGTGTGTGTGTGTGTGTGTGTGTGTGTGTGTGTGTGTGTCTTTTCATGCATTTCCAATAAATGCAGCACATTGCCTTTTCCCCTGAAAAAGATCCCCATGTGCTTTTTATAAGCATAACATTTTTGGTGGAAAAACTTCAAATAACAATGAATAGTCTAGTAGCACTTTAAAGACTAACAAAACATGTAGAAGATATCATGAGCTTTCTTGGGCATAACCCACTTCTTCATTAACAAAACATATAGATGGTATCATGACCACAAAATTTCATGAAACCATCTATGTGTTTTGTTAATCTTTAAGGTGCTACTATACTATTCATTGAGGGGTAGTTACAGACTAACTCAGCTACCCCTCTGAAATTTTTAGGGGAGAAACTTTTTCTAGTTACAGACTAACTCAGCTACCCCTCTGAAATTTTTAGGGGAGAATGCAAAAGAGGTAGGTAATACTGCCTAGATCTCTGGGAGCATAAGATATTTCACATGTGTATTAATTCAGATCATTACTGTGGGTCTCACAGGCTAACATCAATAATGACGGACAGTCCGGTTCATGGATTGGTTGGTGTGATGTTTTCCCCTACCCACCAAGCTTTTCCCCCACCAAGCTTTATGAAAATTGGCTTACACCCACCCTCCGCTTTATGAAAATTGGCTTATGAAGAAAAATATGCATAACTGGGGGATGCTTTAGCAAAATATGTAACCTGTCAATTTTAATGTTAAAATCTACTGGATGTGTATGTCTTATTTTGGTGCAGCTATCATTCTTGTATGTGAAGTGAGACATATGAAATATGACACTGTTTATAGTTTTAAATGCACTAATGAAAGCCATTACTGGTGCTCTTCCCTAGAAGCCTTAATGACTTGGTGATCAATTTGCTAAAAGCCTTGTTTGTCCTTTAAGTCCAGAATGTGACTGGTCCTAGGAAAACATGTTTTGCCACTAGATTGGTCTGAGCTACAAACTGGTAACTGTAACATCCTCAGCAGCACTAGTGGGCACTTTATTACCACCTCTCACTGGGATTCATTCTTGAACGCGGTAGTTTTCCAAGGAAGGGGGAGGTGGGGAAATGTAAAACAAAAGATCCTCTCCCTGGGGAAGAGTCTATTTAAGCAATGGGGGCACTATCAACCCTTTGTCTTTGGCTGGCACACTCTATCAGGATACAAAGAGGGCTGGAGACCCACATCAGAATAAAAGAGTTTGACTTGTACTTGAAAAATATGCCTGAAATAAGGACAGACTTTACCGTAATAATCTGCTTGCAATAAGTTTCTTGGTGGATTGGAACTAGCTATGCATTTTCTATTTGTTTTAATTTAGTAACTTACTTCGATCTGTCTGTTTTCACTTGCAAGCACTGAAATCCTACTCGTACTTAATAAAGACATTTTTGTTTGCTATCAGGCCCAATGAAAATGTCTAGATCTTTGTGTATTTTGGAAGCAGGAATTATGTGAAAAGTAATCAGAACTCTGGCAGAAATTGAAGAGTCTCTGAGCTGCTGGTAACTTGGAATCCAAAGGCAAGCCAAAACATCTGTGCAGATACAAATTAACTGCCCTAATATGTCAACACAAAGGAGCTACAAATAATGAATGTATCTGAAATCAAAAAGCTCCAATTATGATCTTCCAGAAAGAAAAGTGGTCAAAGGAGTCAAGCCTGAGCATAAGAGAAGACTGAGTTTTTACATGTGTTTGCACACACACAGTGCTTAAATCTGAAGATAGATACAAACGAGGTCTGCTTATGTGGATCATAGGTAAGGACCCTTTAAATCACCAAAACCCCAAGGATATAATTAAATTAAAGTTTATGCAAAGATTTCAAGAAGGTATTGAATACACTGGCCTCAAAGACAAATAGTGTAAATAAAAGGCATGATATAACACAATGCTTCCAAACACCCACTGGTAATAGATTTAATGCTAATGTTATTGTTTAACATTGGGATAAATTTAATGCTAATAAGTAGCTCTGTAACAATAAACATTGTATATGATTTTGGAAAATCATAAGGTGTCTATGGATATAACGGAGCCCTTCAGGAAGGCTTCCTTTTAAGCATTAGAACAGTAATTGTAAACACACCTCATGCTAAAAATAAACCCATTATAGTAATAAATGCTTCTCAGTTATTACCTGTTAATAGATTTAAAGTGTAGCCGAGAAGACAAACTGTTGCAAACCTGATCTGCTGTATCAGATGGCAAAAGCACAGGTACTTATGGGAGTAATTCCTCTGTTTTACCTGCAATCAATCAGCCAATATATTTTTGAAGAAA